TATTGTAATCCAATAGCTATTAGCTATTGGACCAATATGAGTGAAACCGCTGATAAACCCTGCTTTGCTAGCACGGCTAAAATCATTAGTAACATATCAGTCACTCACTTACTTCCAATTAAAAGTTAGTTCAGCACCCCGGGGGTATAAAACAGGGTAACCCACTTTTTAGGATCAACGCTGTCTTTTTTGCCATCTGCCTGACAGAAGTCATGTGTGTCCATGAGTGCAAACTAAGATTAAAATCATAGAAGCATTAAGGCTGGCATTGGTATACTCAACACAGCTACAACTAATAAAATTGACAATGGGGGTGTTAGATTTACAGTGTGTGAAAGATCAAGCATTGAAAATGGTCAAGTATCGCCAGCACAAGGGCAGAGGGGGCCCCAAAATCAAATTCTGCTTAGGGCCTCAAATAGGCTTGAAGCGGCTCTGGGTGTATTTTTCATATAGTGGTTTCCCGCTGCTTGACCTGCGGTTAACCCACTGCTAAGTGCTCACCTGCACACTGCTTTTGGATAAATATTCCCTGTGGTTTCTGGGAGATTCTGTCTGTGACTACTTTACCAGTTCCTCTCCAGCATCAGCAAGTAAGAGAATCAGCTGCTTAGAATGGGGGGGAATGTGAGCTATTCTGATGTGGGCAGTCTACCTCCTCTCTCAGTCTGACCTTTACGTCTCAGACTTATATTACGTGGCCACATTGGCTAATATGCTGTCATTGTTATCAAACATAAACTTACTCTGTTTGGTAAAATTAAGACTTTTGATTTTCGTTAGACATGACATTCAGCTAAATGTCAGATGCCACAGCCTTTTAGATTTTCTGAAGCTTCTTCGTGAAGCGGCTCCTTGTTTCTCTATTACAATGGATAACACTCTTGTCTCTTAAAGATGGAATTTAAGATTGAACTTTCATTTATTCCTCACTTTGTGTTAGATGTAATAACGGTTCATCTAGTAGTTTAGCAGTGTTCATTATTAACCTGACACCTTGAGATTGACAGTAACACTGTGGCACCTTTCAGGTACATGCCACAACTACAAGATGAATGATGAACCTAGAAGTTAGACTTAGAAAAGACAAAGACACTGTATGAGGGTTTCTGATCTCTTTGAATTCCTTCCCTTGCATTGTAGCACAAGGTTAAAAGTAATGTACCTAATACAATTTCTAAATAATAAATGCAGTATAGTGTTTGTGGTTGCATGTATTTAATTAAAATGTGGACTGTGTTGTTGATAATGATGCAATGTGCTGTGGCAAAAATAGATCAAGGACACATTTTAAGCCAGACTATCTTGTTTATATTGCACCAGCACCGTGTCCTTAGTAAAATGAATCTACCTCTCCATCTGTACCATATGTACCTGTTCTGCTCCATGCTGTACAGTTGCACACAATGACAAGTGACATCTGGGTAATCAAACCATACATCTTGGCCCATGAGCTGCTTCTTTAGAAATACAGAGAGCACAGTACCTTGATCAACAGCTCCTCAATCATAGCTTTTGAGAGTGAATTTCAGCAACATAACAATTATGTCTGTCTCATTACAATGTAACTATGCTGGTGTAATAGATGTCTGAATGGTTGAAGCTGAGCAGAGCTCTGATGGGAATGACCTGAGGTCACCAAACCCCATTTACAAAGGAATGATTAAGTCGTTTCAGCCTCACAGGCACAACAAAACTAAGGGGGCTTTCACATCTACTTAGTTCTGTCCACACCTTCAGACTCTTCATTTTAATCCAAATAAAAAACTGTGTGAAAGGTGCCACAGACAATGGTGTGGACCAATAGACCAAAACAAAAGATATGGTCTCGGTCCGGATCAGTCCGTTCACAGTGGGAAATCACTTTTTGGATAGTTTGGAGTCTGTTGAGACAGCATTAAACATTAGAAGACCAAAAAGAAGCAGAGGTGGCTGGCAGGATTGTTTTTTTTTACTACAATGATTGAATGACAAAGACGTTCCTTTTTTGCTGGTAGTAATAAAATAATGATATTACCATCGCAACCACATTAACAAAGTGAACCAGTTACTTTATTTTCTCCATTCAAGGAACAACATTTTTTTTAGTGCACCTTATTTAAAAACAATTTTTGAATTGACAACACTATGTCAGATGCATGCCCGTCTGTAAACTAATCAATGTCAACTATAGGTAGACGCAGCCCATACAGGTGTCGATCACAGGACATATGTATGTCATACAAGCATCTGTAAACAATGGAACAAAGACATGAACCATGGTTCAGACCATGATTCAGAATTGCAGAGCTGCATCCATACTAATATTTTTTTAATTTCGGTAAGTGCCAATGTAAACACAAACAGCAGCAGAATATATATCTATACCTATCTGGGTTAGGATGAAAGTTTTCAGATTTCTTAAACCAGAATATTTACATGTTTTAACGTTTGGAATAGCATGGATACTGGGTGTATACTCAGTTATCCCTGATAAGTGGTGGACTCGCTCTCAAGCAGAGGCATAATCAGGTGCAAACACTGAACAAGCCAGAGGAGTCGGGGCAGTGAGAGGGTCGACCTGAAGGAACAGGGACACTGAGAAAAGAACGGCACGTCAATGTCTGCAAGTGACATTGATGGTCGAGTAGAGCTGGTGGAACGGAGGGTTAAGGGACTGTTAGAATAAATTGTAATGGAGGAGATTTGAGCCAGACGCAGATAGTGTATCCTTCCAGACGCACTCCACCATGCCAGACGCAAATTCTCAAAAACAGAGACGCATTCCACTTGGATGCCTTCATTCAAGTAGGCTGTAGATACATAGGGCAGCTGTGACAGACAGCAGTCAAAGAGGAACATTTTGTTCCCATGAAAAGCAAACAGATTCTTTTGGCCACATGTTTGACACTAATAGGAGTTTCCAGACTGCATCAACCAGTTCAACTCTCAAACAAAACTCTACCTTTGAGGAATTTCATAAGCATGTGAGGGATGGTTTACTGGTTGCACCACCAGCGACTGTTTTCTCAAACTTCTTAAGTTTAGGCACTGCCTCTTTTCATATCAGTGTATCCTTTTCTGTTTCGAGTTAACCTTCCTGTATTTCAGATGAGGTAATGGTTATAAAAGAAACCAAGAGACTTTAATGGCCCAGTGTGACTCACACATCCTCAACTTTGTGAGTCTAATCAGCCATTCTTACACCGCAGTGGTACTTTTAGTTTGGTTAGCATTCACTGCTGCTGGATAGTTAGCCAGACATTACTGCATTAATTCTTTTTTGGAAACATTTAAAAAGGAGTTCAGGCAATGAAGCAGTTCAACTTCATTGGCAGAACTACTTAATACTGGTATCACTTCTACTTTTACTCTGGATTCAACTAGAGTTCAGTTGATTTAAATGAAGACTGAATGCAACCTCTTTGCCCAGTAACCTTTTTTGTAGGAGGCCAGAGTTCTACATGATATTTGTGGGCAGATGCGGAATATACGTCCTTCAACTGTAACACAAAGCAGACCCCAACAGAGCAGAGGGATTGTGTTCCTGCGTCGACACAATTAGTCTTGGATAAGGAGAGGGGTAGACCAGCAGCTAAGATTAAAGTTGCTTTTTAAAGGTCGACAGTTGTGATAACCCCTGGGCCTAATCTTTCATAGCTAAAAAAGACCAAGTCCTTGTACAGTAATAAAGCAAGATGTAACAAGGTAAAAGCCTACTGGAATCATAAAGCTGTCATGTGCTGCATTTGTTGTTTGTCACTAACCCTCAAATGAGATAGTGGCGTAGAAGAACTAACTGGTTCAAATTAAGTTTGTAGGGATTTTTTTTTCATGTGCACCATCATAAAAGTGATGGCAAATCAGACTCAAAGGGACAGAATACAGACACGCTCAGGAAGGAATCGTCCGTGGTTTGTTTTCATCAAGTCGTCTTTTTTTCTCTGGAAGCACTTCATTTGAATAATCTGTTAGAGGCCATTATCATTATACTCTTCCTGTTTATCAGCCTCTGTCCTCATGCTCTCGCTCAAACCTCATGGAGCCATTATGGAAACTGTCGGACGTTAATCGGATTAGCACCACTTGACAGATCATGAGTTCTGTTGGAGCAATCCCACCCCTGACTAACCACATCTGATGCTTTGGTCGAGTTAAACAAGATCTTACAGTTCTTGCAGGAGAGATGAACAATCAGCTCTTTAGTCTGTTTAATGCAGTGCTAATACTCTGTCATTACCTTGTCATAGCTAAGTTACTTTTTTAGGTGATGCTTAACCCGGGCCAGTCATAGGCAATGTCTTTTCTGATGGAAATGTGGCAGTTCACAAGGAATACTATGAGTCTGAATATTATTTCTGCCAGGGAGGCTATGTTTTCATTTCTATTTGTTTGTCTGACATTCACCTGGATTACTCATAAAATACTCAACCAATTTCCATGAAATTTTATAAGGGGTTGGGTATGACCCAAGGAAGAAGAATGTGGATAGATCGGGATAAAGAGGCTCATCCAGGAATCTTTTTCTCTTTCTTTAACAGATGCTTATATGTTGCAATGGCTAACATGTTAGCCAACAGTGAGTGTCTGATTTAACAGCAAGTTGATTCATAGTTGTTACCATCCGGTTTATTAGCTGCTAAATCCTTCACTCTGTTCAGTACTTGCCAACTATCTGGCATTAGGTGAAGGTGAACCAAAACGGTAAAGCCCTGAGCCGTCATATCAAAACAATGAACTGAAAGATGCTAAAATACTCTGCAGAGGAGCTGCAGTGTCAAGTTAATCCTCTTCGCTTTCACATTACACCTTTTTCTCATAGTTTTTAAAATTATTTTGCTATGAAATGTTGCATTGGCATATTAAAGCATATCAGGTACATTTCAAATACTGTATAAAGCCATAAACCAAAATGCATTAATTGCAGCAACGTCGCAATGTTGTGTCATGTGTCATTTGTGCTTTAACGGAAGTGCAACTAATCAATGACATAACTAACAAGTTTTCTCTTCTGTTTTCAGGTGTCTTCCTCTTGTGTTCCAGCAACAAACTATGAGCTGGTAAGCAACACTTTTTTTTTAAAGTAATTGCTTCCATGCTGTACGTGCTCAGCAGACATTATTGGGTCCTTCCTGGTTGAGAATTTTTGCACACAGGGTTGGAAAGTAACAGTCCCTATCAGCTCCACTAACAAGGCAGTTACTATCGCCGATAATGAATCATTATCTGAATGCCCCCCGAGACTGAAACTTGTGATTCAGGGCTACATAAACATACTTGTCTTGACTTGATTTAACTGTTGTGTAGCAGCAGTTGTGCCTGTTCTGCTGAATTTGTCACAGGTATATTGAAATTCTTATCTTTTGGCTGTTTTGGCATGAACACAAAAAAAGAATCCTGATAAGAATGATAAAACGCTGCATGCCTGAATCTGCTATATCATTATGACGTTTTCTGGTATTTAAAATAACAGTGAACAAAGTGAGATGTAGTCTGAGTATGAAGTGATTTTAGAAGGGCAATAAAAAACACGCTTGCTCTGTTGCCTTATTTGGTATTGGCATTAGAAGCTGTGTGAGACTTGGATAGGGTTTGCTCACTCTCTCGCTTGCATGTTGTGTATCTAAATGGTTTTGGGTGTTTGACAAACCAAAGCAAATATCCCCTGCACTTCTCTACGCTCACAGAGAAAGTATTTGACTTAATGTCTTTTCTAAAAGACAAGAACATGCTATTATCTGCTACAGATGCTTTAACACTAGATACCTTCTGCATGAAGACATTTGTTTATGATTTGCAGCACTGTGGGTAAAACTGCTGTTGACCTGAGCTATTTGGTTTCTGACAAACACCTTCAGACACTGAGTGCATTAATTAAAAAGTAAAAGCCTGCTTCAACACTACCTGCTGGGCTCCATATGACATAAACATTCACTTTTACATACTGAGCCTGCGGTCTGACAGCTGACCTCTCATCAGTAGTATAAGTGTCACTCAACTTTAAATGAGTACAGTGAAATTCTTGGTATGCTTGTGTACGACTGCAGAACTAACAACCCAGCCTGGGACCTTCATAGAAATAAAATGTTGTTTTTGTTTAGGCTACATCCACACTATAAATTTTTTTTTTGAAAATGTTGTACACTGGGTTTACATGTGCCATTGCAAACAGGAAAGCATGCACGTCCTGCTAGACATGGGAATTGTCTCAAACTGCTCAAATAATTGCGCATCTTCTACACATGTAAAATCATATATCATTGTAAAATGCAAAATTTGCCTGCGCAACAGCTGTTTGCAAAGACAACAGGGTCAGAAACTTTATTAAATGATAATCCATGTTAGGTAGCGTCATGGAGCCTAACAAATCATGGAAGGCCTAGTCATGACCGAAAAGACCCAATCAGCAAGTGGTTGTGGGAGTCTCCATCATTGTTTTGAGATGTCTCCGTTTCCTTCTCCCCAGACTAACACAGCCCCTCAGTTTCAAACTAAAATGGGGCCAGCAATGTTTAGAAGCCTCTCAGCTTTAGCAGCTTGAAAACTCCAGAGAAGTGTAGATGTCATACGTATCGGTAGTAGAGTTGATGCAAATGAAAACACAATAGTGTGGATGTAGCGTTAGTTGACAAATGTTTCAGTCGGTCAGTGCAAACACTGAACAGAATATATTTCTGTCCTATCTGGTCCATTATCTGTTTTAATGGAAGGACACAGCAACCACAGAGCATGTCCCTCCCTCATTTCTCCTCTGCCTGCCAACAGGAGTCTCCCCAGAGGCTTTTGTGCCTGCATTAAAGGTGCTGATTGCTCCCATAAACGCTGATGAGCTGAGGTGTAAAATATTTGTTGGCGTACCTTTAAACTGTGTTAAACGGAGTTATGGAGTTGAGCACCGTGGAGAGCCCTTCTGTATTCAGTTTATATAAAAATACACTATTACGTACATGAGTAAATCAGTGTGCACACAGTATGGGTCATCCGTCTGGTATATGACGGGAACTGGATGCCGCTGTTTGGAGTGTGTTTTTGTGTGGACGTGCAAGCGCGCATGCCAACGAGTGTTCTCGACTGCAGCCCTCTGGCCCGAGGTGTGTCAGAGCTCCTCTGCCCCATGTTTGGTGAATTCCTTCACTTATGGTCAGAGACCAACATGAGTTACTGCCTCACTCAGGTGCAGACGGACTGCAACCTCAACCAGTTTATAAACTCAGCTGGAGAAAAGTGTTTGAAAAAAAGACACTTGTGTGAATCTAGACATTCCAATGAGATGGAAGAGCTACAAGCTTCATTACCAGGTCATAATGCTCCTTCTGAGTGGAATTCAAATCAGTCATTTCTCAGCTACAGAAGAATAGATAGGAAAATTGATCAATTTATTGATTATAAAAGGTCATTCAATTACTGTGGGCGTGTGTGTGTATGTATGAGTGTGTGCGTGTGTGTGCATGCCTACTGCCTCTAAGCATATCTTGTTTTTGGATTTGATAGAATCAAACATGCTGAATCAACAGTTTCCCAGAAAACATCATTCAGTTGATGCTGTGGAATATTCGATCGTAACACTTGATCTTCTGTAGAAGTGGAAGTCGGCCCCTTTGTCATGGAGATGTAGATGGAATTCTAGATGTTTTAGTTCTCCAACTTCTCAATGAGGTGGCATCAGAGTTGAGACTGAAAGTTCACTCTTGACCTTGGAGACTTCATTTATACGGTCCAGCTGAATTCTAGAGCTTTCAGTCGCATCAAATCGTCTTCCAAAGCAAAAAATAGTTTATAAGTACAGGTTTTCATTCATTTGCAGGTGTTTAAATGTTATTTTTCTGCGCACTTCAAGGACTTTTCAAACACGCCTGAAGACTTTGTGGCATCTGGTTACAGTTCGCGACGAGGTCACGATGTGTCTTGAAGCCATTCAAACAAACTAGATGAACTTTCCTGATGAGCACACGCTTAGATTTATTGCTATCTGAAAAATAATGTCTGCAACTTGAAACAAAAGTTGCTTATTAAACATTTATGGTACTTGATGAGTGCAGCTATTACTACAGTATTTATAACTATCCAGCCTGTCTCCTGTCAAACTGTTCATGTACATATCTTTGTGGTGCTTCAGGGTTGGAAACTGTCTAATAGTACAGTAGGATTATTTAAAACCCGATTGCACAAGTATGTTCATGTTAAATCTGTGTAATTATGAAATAAACACGCTCTTTAAGTAAAGCAACCCACTGGCTACTAACTACGGAGTAAACAGAGAGAATTTGAAATGAAACACTCCACTGTGGGGAATGTATTAAGTCTATTTATTGTTATTGATGGTGGGGTGTTGGGAGATCCCATCCAGGAGTGGTGATGACAGAAGTGACTACCCTTAAAAGACCCCCCCCCCCCCTTACCCACTTGGCTCTGCATGAGTGGTGGTTGCACTGCTCAGATGTGCCCTCATGTTGAGCCTGCACTGCCAGGAATCGGTTTTTATTTTGCATAAAGGCAGGATGAGGGCACAGAGGGAGAGATGTTACGGATTCTGGTAAGGAAGGCTGCACATCTGGACACATGCCCCCCCCAGAAACTCACATTGCCAATGCATGCACTCACAAGCAGAAATATGCACACACACACACTCAGAAAAAACGCAGACACCTACGTCATACAGGTCTTGTGTAGTGGGGGGAACAGAGCCAGGACATGAGTAAGTGCAGGGCAAAGATGGTCTAGATGTGGGCCAATTAGCGCTGTGTTTAGAGCCACACATACTTCCATGATGTGCCCTGTAATTTCATTACGATATACAGTGAGATCACAGCTCCCTGGGAATGTCTGAAGTGGCTCCTATGAAACCACCATGTTTAATATTGAACTAAGAGCCAGACTTAATGTGTCAAGTGTCCTACAAGAGAATCCGGCAATTATCAAATGTGTGTACATAATGTGTGATCTGAGGGAGCTCCGGGGAAGACTGGACGTCACAAAGAGGAAAGCCTGAATGAGCTTGTTAACTACAGTGTCTGTGTAATTGTCCCTGAATATGAGTCTTGAAGTGATGATGTCTGAAACATAACAGCGATCTTTAAACTTACTTGTGTAGGTGGTTGTACGTGTTTTATCCTTGTTTTTTAAGCATTGACAATATCACATGTGTTATATGAGGTATGTTGAAGTGTAGTTTGTAAGTTTACCTCTTTCGCTCACACAGTTCCAGTTTTCATTCTTAATCAAAACATTGAATAATGAACATACCAGTAATTTACATGGTAAAAACTGGGCTGTTCAGTTTACTGTGGCTTGTTAACTACAGTTTTATGAAGTCTTTCCCACCAAGATGTTGCAGTTACAGGAAGCTAAACAATCACCAAGACCTATTATCATCATGGACGTGTCTGCATGCTAAGCTGTAATTGACTTTCTTCAGTGTTCTTACCAGTGTAAAAGTACAGTATGAAGAAACATCAGTTCAGACTGTGGTCTCCCTCAGCCTGGTCAGTTATGTCAGTGTCAGTCTCTCCAGACTTCAGTAACTGCTGGTTATCAGATGCCAACATCCTCCTCCTTCTGTCCATCAACTATGGGTGGTGCTATAGGCCGTTTCAGCTGCGTCTCAGAATACAGCACGATATTCTGCTTGGAAGAGGGTCGAGACTTTCACACTTTCAGAGAAGCTCTGTAATACCCACCCAGTTTATATAAACTCAGAGATGGTCCTTAACAGAAAGATAACAGCATTGGGCATTTGCACCAACGGTGTACAGTGATTCTATCTTTTTCTTCATTTTAAAAAGTACAAAGCGATGTTCGAAGTCTTCAGGCTCATCCAAAAAATTAGCAATACTCCCGCCAATTTTGAAGTTAAAGAAAATAGAAATAAAGTCACACAGACAGAGAGACTGACAGAATGCGAATCCTTCCACTGCTGGAGTTTTAGTAGATTCAGAATGACGATCTCTTACATCGTGAACACAATGCAGACACTCTGGTTCGACTCCCAATAGCTTTGAACATGACATCCCCATCAGCCCAGCACAGAGCACACAGCTGCTAGCATGGCTGTCGACTCTTA